TTTATTTCCACGGAGTTGGACATTATACGGATTTTCGTTGTTCAGACTCTAATTTTAGGGTCATTCCACGCGAACTCTTTACGAAATTTGAATATGTTCTAGTCTTTGGTGATATTCGAAGTAGGACTGGGATTATTTAAATAATCGAATATCCGGATGATGACGATCACCAAGTATTCGTAATCTGGACTTGGGGTATGCGAATTTTATCTCGAATTCCGAAAATACAAATATCGATTTACACGGTTATATATTTAAAAAGAGCGATTTATTTTCTTCGACAATCCGGAATATTTTCATAACGGATTCGTAATTGAATTTATTTTGTATCACAGTCTTTGTAAAAAATAGTCTATTTCGCGATTCGCTTGGGTTACAAGTTGTTCTGTGAGGAAATCTATCTATGTAAATTCGGATATCCAGATTTCGTTATTCAAATACTCGAATACCTGAATTATTCGGATAATGAAAGAATACCTGTTCGAAAGATTACACTTGAAACATGTAAGTGAAATCTTGAGAAACTTCGGACGTCTGAAGTTCAGAATAATCCGACATCCTGGGAAATTTCCAGTGTCCCGCATCGAATTAGGAATTGTCGATTGTTCTCGAAGCACGTCGATGACGACAGTCTCGCATCCCGCGTAAGCATGAGCAACAGGTTCGATGACTTTCTCTCTGTACCGTGGCGAGAGGATTTCGGTTCCCGATTTCCTCGATAATCGTCCTATCGTGACGTCAAACGCCCAAACACGACGCGAAGTGAAAACTTTACGCGTCGGGCCCGCCCACATTAGGGGCAAATTATTCGGTCTTACGTTCGTTTTTTCACTTTCCTGCCGGTTGTTGTTTCTTCTGTTCTTTTATTTATTTATTTTTTTTGTTTGTTCGATTGGAATTGTCCAAAGAAATGAAAAAAGACAAGTGTCGAGCGATGAAGAAGGAGAGAAACGTCGTTGCCGCTGGATTGGCCAAGGGAGAGAAGCCAGCGAGAAGACACAGAAAAGGAGGAGAAAAAATGGAAATGGTGCAATTTGCATGGCTCGGACACATCTCTCCCTCCCTCATCGCGGTGGAGGCAGACGGCAATCGAGATAAGACGTACCTGGAATCCGGCAGAAGAGACTCCGGTCCGCCAACTCGGTCCATTCTGCTCGCTTCCACGAAGCGAAATTTGAATTTCGTATCGTATTGCGCAATCCCACCCACGCGTAGCTGCACTCGTCTTGTCTCCGCGATCGGTCAGATTGTTTGAAATCGAAAACACGGCCGTCGAGCGTACAATCGTCTGGCCACCCCTTTGTTATTCCTGCATTTTTACCTGGACGGTAAAATATTCGTTGATTCTCCGATTTGTGGGACACGTCTAGACGATCGCATTAAAGTAACGTTTGCGACCTCATGGACGATTAACGCAGAATCGGACAATTTACGTTTTACGTCATTTGAACGGTTTTCTCAAAAGGGGCTCTGGATTTCTTTTTCTAATAACAAAATACGTCCATCGGCATAGACGTGGTGGACACTCGAGGGAAGAGACTCAAGTAAAATGGAAAAAAGGTCGATTATTTTTCTATTGCATAAATGAGTACTCTATTTGATAATAAGAAATACTTTGTTTCGATACAAAATTCTCAAATATTTTGAAATTCTTGATTCGGAAACACGAATTGTTTGCAATTTCAAGACTTTTAGGAATTTTAGGAAATATGATAGCAATGATTGATTGCAGAAATAAATATTTATGAGCCAACGGGCAAAACGAATTTAAATCCAGAAATGTTGAAGAACGTTTTATTTTGCATAATACAGAATAAAAAAAATATTTCTGTTTTTGGAACGTTTGTAGCTAAATATAGAACCCGTTTTTGCGTCAAAACGATTCGTAGTCTAAGGTTTTTAGAGTTTATTTTAATAAAATCAATGAATGATTTTGACTTTCAAGGCAATCTACGTAATGAAAAAAAATAAAAAATAAAGTTGATTTCATCTAATTTTTGTCCATACAGTAATCGCACACTGGAGTTCTGTAGCTTCCACACAGATTTTATAAACTCTGTATCCAACATCAACCTCAATTATTGCAACACGCGATATAAGCACAAAAACAGCAGACTCAGGTTTACTGAACTATAATGTGGGAAAACAACTGCGAAATAGCAGATATTTACAACTGTTGGTCATTCATTCGGTGGTGGTTATACGTCTGCAGATTTTTAGGTGTTTCGAAAAATATCATAACAAAGATGAATTTATTAGATATACATTCTAAAATGAATTTAAGACACATGAATATTTATTTACTTCCTCGTTATTCGTTTAATGCATAGAAAAATTCTAAAGGTTATTCAACTTCGTGGTCTTGTGTCTTTTACAGTTTTTGAAAAGATAAGTTTCCCCATAGCTGAAACGTTTGAAGTAAAGTTTATTAAACCTGCGCACAAAGTGCGCTCTGTAGAATCTGTGATGTTCACATTTAAATCAGAAGTTTGTTATATACTCAAGAGAGAGAGAGGGGAAAAGACCACATATATTATATATTTCGCGATTCATTCGTGTTTAAATTCTACTTCGTCGAGGAATGTTGCAGCTAACGTGAGAGCTGAGAAACTGAAAAAAGAAGCGGATTTCCTGAGAACCGTGGAAGATCGTCTCTTCGAATTCGACGCGTATCGTAGAGATGCACTTCGAGCGGCTACTGAGATTACAGATGATCATCCGCCATGATAACAGGGACATCGGAACTGTCGCAGAGATGATACAAGACGGAATTCGACTCCTCCAGCTTCGAGAAGAGAGTCGCGTGCTGCGACGGAAGACGGTGGATCGGATGCACCACATTCCGCTGAAACGGGAGCGGTAAGAAATAAAAGAAGAGCGTGTATGTATATATAGGAATATCACCACGCAATTTTAACATTTCAGCTGCTGAATTATTCCGTAGTAAAAAAATCTTCTGTGCTGGATTAATCGTAAAATCTCATTTTCTAATAACTTTGTTTATTAAATCGATTCCGGATCTTTACTATATCTTCAAGTTCGTATTTTGGATGAAAATAAAATTTTCTATGCAAGTACTTAATTTCTATACAAATGTATTCATCGTATGTAATTACATGCAGTTACATGCAGAAACATGTATAAGAAATGATGTATAGTATGCGCTGAAAGGGTGACGCGGAACAATATCGCGATTTGTTTTAGTCGCGAATCAGAAAGAATCGGCAATTGGTCTTCTGGATTCGTCGAAGCCAATCAAAAATGCATTAGAGTGCCACCGTGCTTGAAGTAACCCGCCTTAAATTCGTCTCGAGAATACACTCCAATATCTATGCATATTATCCGTTGATATATCTTCCAATGGAGAAAGACTACTTTCGTGTACAGTTAGTCATCAGCTTAAAAGCACGTCCCAATCAGAGATGCATTACGTTACGCCACGCGAGTAATTTAAAAGATCACAGCTCTCGTCCATAAATTCTTTGGAGATTTCGCTGAAGCGATATACGTAGTTAAATTTTCGTAAGATCGTCTCGAATAGACCAAGTTTCATTTTTCCGAATCAGTTTATCGTAATCGTAGTTCACGAATCATCTGTACAGTTTCTCGTTGGATTTGACGTTCACATTGAAAACCTTTGGATGACACGTCAGATGAATATTTTTGATTTTATGAAGTAGACTCTTTCTATAATTTGGATGCAGATCAGGACATAATCTTGCATTGTCACTTGCACGAACAAGCTTTACAAGCGATTCACAATGTCAGTGCGGATATGAGCGTCAAGACCATCGCTGGTGAACCGTGGCAATCATCCATGCGGTTCCAGAATCGCGTGGTTGGCGTACTCGTAGATCATCTTCTCAGATAGAAGCAGAATCCACGTGCCATGCCGGACGGGAGGATAATCGGGCTGCGGCGGGATGAGGCCGCGAAACAAGAGGAACAGGAAGAGGCGAGCATCGTCTGCGAATATCGCTCTTCAATTTTCTTCGGTTCTCGTGTGTCTTGAGCCGACCATCTGGTTTACTGTTTCCACGACGGCCAGCAACTACGCATTTCCGCGCGTTGAATTCCTCTGTGGGAATCGTATCGTTCTGTACTTTCGGCCGAACTGGATCCAGCGAGCCCGGAATCTGGCATCGCGACAGAGGAAGTCATGAAATTTACGAAAATTTTCTTCCGATAACTGAAGTTCTAATAAATGGAGTTCTACTGTATTCCAATTTATGGATTCTCAATGTGAACCGTATGAGCCCTTCCATAGTGGGTAATCTTGCGTTTCTCGTGGGCCCACGAGTGAAACGTTTATAAGAAATGGGAAACCACTTCTGAATGGGCTACGAAAAAATTGTTGAAACATTGTACAAGGTGAGCCGAGTAAGTGTAACAAGCTTTCCAGTACATACTGGAAGGTTATCAGTGATAGAAAGCACCTGAGAATCGGTAACGTCTGGGTAGTTGTAATTAATTATTAAAAAAGTAATTAAGAATAATGTATTGCGTATTTACTAAAAACAAAGTAATCAAAAATTACTTAAATAACTACTTTTTTAATTTAAAAGTAATTATTCCAAATTGTAATGGATACAAAAGTAATCGTTACTTTACAGCTCTGATTTCATGTCATGCCAACTCAAAAATCCGAAACGTTTGAGAATATTGATGGTGCTGTAGTTATCCTCCGCAGCGTGGTCCTCGCTCCCCTCATCCGTAAACTATGCTTACGCTCCGTCCCTACGTTTCCAGGTTCATTGTTTTTTAGCTTGCCAGATGGATTTCTCATCGACGATTTTCAAATCTCGTCGACGTGACGCGGGTGTATGTAACGGCGATGTTTATTCACAAGTTACGCTCTTCGAATTTCGCTATTCTCATCGGATTTGGCTGCGCGCCAGAGACCTAAAACTGGCCTGCCTAACTTCCACTACGTAGAGCAGGAAAATAGAAAAGGTGTGCAGGGATTATCAAGGCCGTAAACAGAATTCGACGAAGTCGGGTCAGAGCGATAAATGCAAATTGCGTCTTCTTCGTTTCGCGATGTACGTCAATCCTGCCTCTGGCGCAGTTTCCAATCTTGAAATAATTTCGATTTGAGGTTCTCATCTCGTATCTTCGATACCTCCAGAAATTCGTACAATTACTCGATTTAATATTCGAACGCCATGGTACATGTATCATTATTGCTCCCTATACTTATTTTTTTAGCGATGTTATCGAATTTTTTTAACGAGTGATTGATAAAAGTACATACTCTAGTTTACAGATATATTAAATTGATAATTTTATTACATAAGGGAGAGTGTTCGCACAAAGATTGCAGTGGCGAACAGTACATTCAGTGCATACTTTGCGAATATTGCAGATGCAGTTCGTTATGTGTTAAAAGAAGCAAGCTATGCTAAAGTGGCTCGATGGTAAAACGATGGAATGATTTGATCTTTGCAGATGAAACGTAGTTTCACGTTTCTTGGTGTAACGGACGAAAATCAGTGTGGTGTAACGTGAATGAAAAATTACCACTGCAAAATATGACACAACGTGTCGCGACGTCGCGTCGCAACACGACGACGAAGCCTTGACGGTATAGGGTTGCATTTCAGTGCCTGAAATAGGAAAGTTAGTTTTTATTGACTAGCCTCTTTAGAAAATCCTTATATACCTATGAGAATGAGAGAGTTACAAATTGTTATGCCTTGTTTAAATATATATATATATATAT